TGGAGGGGGGAGCAGTATGAGGAGGGATGCCAGGGGAGTGATGGTGGGGGGAGAGCAGTATGAGGAGGGATGCTAGGGAAGTGATGGAGGGGGGAGCAGTATGAGGAGGGATGCCAGGGGAGTGATGGTGGGGGGACAGCAGTATGAGGAGGGATGCTAGGGAAGTGATGGAGGGGGGAGCAGTATGAGGAGGAATGCCAGGGGAGTGATGGTGGGGGGACAGCAGTATGAGGAGGGATGCTAGGGAAGTGATGGAGGGGGGAGCAGTATGAGGAGGAATGCCAGGGGAGTGATGGTGGGGGGACAGCAGTATGAGGAGGGATGCTAGGGGAGTGATGGTGGGGGAGCAGTATGAGGAGGGATGCTAGGGAGTGATGGAGGGGGACAGCAGTATGAGGAGGGATGCTAGGGGAGTGATGGTGGGGGGACAGCAGTATGAGGAGGGATGCTAGGGGAGTGATGGTGGGGGAGCAGTATGAGGAGGGATGCTAGGGAGTGATGGAGGGGGGAGCAGTATGAGGAGGGATGCTAGAGGAGTGATGGCTATAGAAATAGTATAGAAAAGGGCTTTGGAGGGTTGCCTAAGAAACACTTTATAGAGAGATTCTGTGTCAGCAGTATATAGAGGGATGCTAAGTGTATAGCCGCGCGCGGGTAGATAGATGCTGTAGGGAAAGAGTGTATGGGAGGATTCTGGAGAAGGGCACATAGAGCTAAGCTAGAGTAGTACGGGATATATGGGTATAATGATGAAACAACCGTGTCTAGAAGGATGCTGGGGGAGCAGTGTATGGAGAGATGCTGGGAGGAGCAGTATAATATGAAGAGATGCTGAGGACAGCAGGGATGCTGAGCTAGCAATGTATAGGGAACGCTAGATGTTTCGATGAAGCGCAATGACATTACATATACAGCAAGAAAGTATCTCGCTGGGCTCATCAACCACAATTACGTGTGTGTGAGCATGTCGACGCTCACACTGAATACTGAACACAAGAATGCTGATTACCTCTGCTCCGCTCTCCAGTGCGCCATCACTGTATATCTAACGGGAAAGCGAAAGGAAGAGAGAGAGAAGAGTGCGAGACAGAGAAGAGAGAAGAGAGAGAGAGAGAGAGAGAGAGAGAGAGAGAGAGAGAGAGAGAGAGAGGAGAG